TCTTGGTATGTAGCCCTGGCTGACCTTGATCTTGGAACCATCATCCTCTTACCTGGAGACAGCTAGGATTACAGGTGTGAACCACCACACCCAACTTGTAGGGGTCTTGAGATATGGATCTGAAATCTATGTAAAGGGTTTGTCTTTGTTCTTGTGACTTAGTCAGTTTCTAATATTTTATTAATGAAAATTGATTCTGGTTTGAGGTGGATATGTAGTTCTTTTTTTTAATATTTTATTATTATTTTTTTGTGTGTATGCATATATTGCCTGCATGTAGGTAAGTGCACCTGTGTCATGCAATGCCCTTAGAGGACAGAAGAGGCCATCGGATCCCCTGGAACTGGAGTTACAGACAGCTGTTAGCTGCCATGTGGGTGCTGGGATTTGAACCTGGGTCTTCTGTAAGAACCGCCAGTGTTCTTAACTGCTGAGCCATCTCTCCAGCCCTCAGTGTTTATTTTAATAAAAATAAATCAGTTATGGAAAGTACCAGAAGTCACAGAGCAGAATGAGAAGTACCACTGGAGTGATGCACGGTGAGATCTCAGCACATCTCCTTTCACATGCCCCGCGCCTCTGTAGGGTAGTGGACCCCCCGTTTCTGACACGCAGTTTTTTATGCCCCTTCCTAACCCAAGACACAGAAAGCATTTCCACATGTGAAGGGAATTGAAGACGCAGTCATGGGGGGGGGGGCTGCCTAGCCACACCCTGCAGGTGTGCTGTCCCACGCAGTCATTCCCAAGGCTACTGAGCAGTGGGTTATGAGACTAAGTCTGCCTTGGATTCCAAGTAAGACTTACCAGCTTACTGGGCAGGTGCTGGTCATTGTCCAGGGCCCTCCAGAGTTCTTGCAGATGGTCCATGAACTCACAGAAACCTGCATTTGTGTCCAGCTTGTACAGCAGGGAAGCGTAGCCCTGCACGGCATCGTGGAAGCAGGCCACCCTGTCCACGTCAATGTCATTCTCCCCGGCTGAAATGGAGGCCAGGTCCACGAACACCTTGAGTTCGTTGATGCCTTGAGAAGGGAAAAGGGGAGGTCAGAACATGACCACGCCAAATCTTGGGCATTAATCCCTAGAGAAGCTATAAACAGACATCAAGTGAATGTCTCAGTTTGACCACTTCCTACTTTTACTAAGAATCTGGAGCATGTTTTGATACCACTGACTGATATCTAACCTTTATCAGACACACTGTCCTTATGTTTCTGTCACCTTATGACCTTTAACCCACATACTATCTGCTTAAATGAAAAGAGCCCAAGATTAAGTGGTAAAGAACATGCTGGCAATTAACTATAAAACTGAGGTAGTGGGAGGCAGAGGCAGGCGGATCTCTGTGAGTTCAAGGCCAGCCTGGTCTACACAGCCTGGTCCACACAGTGAGTTCAAGGCCAGCCTGGTCCACACAGTGAGTTCAAGGCCAGCCTGGTCCACACAGTGAGTTCAAGGCCAGCCTGGTCCACACAGTGAGTTCAAGGCCAGCCTGGTCCACACAGTGAGTTCAAGGCCAGCCTGGTCCACACAGTGAGTTCAAGGCCAGCCTGGTCCACACAGTGAGTTCAAGGCCAGCCTGGTCCACATAGTGAGTTCCAGGCCAGCCTGGTCTACATAGTGAGTTCCAGGCCAGCTGGGGCTACAAGGAGACCCTGTCTCAAAAAGATAAAAAACAGGGTCTGGAGGGACGGCTCATGGACTGTTCCTGCAGAGGATCCGGGTTTGATGCCCAGCACCCACATGGCAGCTAACAACTGTCCATAACTCCAGTTCCAGGGGATCAGATACCCTTTTCTAATCTCTGAGGGCTCTGCATGACACGGATGCACTTACATGCAGGCAACACACTCATACACATAAAATAATAAATAAAATTTTTAAAAAAGATAAAAAACAAAAAAAAAAACAAAAACCAAAAAAAGAGGTAATTCTTCTGGGCTAGTGGTCAGTCAGGATGGGCTGCAAAGTGCAAACAGAAGTCCATAGAGGAAGCAGCACAGTGCTGGAGCCGGCGCGTCCTCCACACCAGCAGCCGCGGCTCTCCAGGTTGCTGCCTGCATCTTCTGCACCCGTTCCTTTCCTCCCTCCTCCCACCCACCCATCTGTATAACTGAGCAGGCTGACAAGCCCTCAGCTGAGACATGCAGTGACTTTGTGAGGGTGTGCCGGTAAAACCTGTGGGCAAGAGCCGTCCTGTCTTAGGGAATTGAAAGCTAACGGGGCAGGTACAGAGAATGGGCTTTGGCTTCCCCCAGCATCCAGTGTGGGGAGGGCAAGGGAGACCTGAGACACTGTCCCGGGTAAATTCTACGCCTAATCAGGGAGAGACACTGGCCTGCTCCATAAAGAACTCGAGGAGCACGTTTCCTGGTCTTTGTACAGCATGTGATAAAGGGGGAGGTATTTCCTAAAGTAGCGGAACCCACACAAACCACCTGCAACCGCCTGCCAGCCCTAGGCAAGCCCAGAGGGCTGACCATACCTCCCAGGGCCTCGCGCAGCCAGTCCACAAGCTTGGTCTGCAGCGACAGCTCCTTCAAGCAGCGGTGGCGAGGTTCACTGATGCCTTGGAGCAACTTCTTGGCCTGAATGAGCTGCAGGCTGATCTGGTCCAGTTTTTCATGACGAAACTCCTCAAAGGCATCCGTCTAGAAGAAGAAGTCTGGCTGTGGGCTGGCACTGGCTGCAGAGCCCTCACGTCTGCAGGCAGGAGCAGCCACTGCCCATGGCAGAGTGGCGCATGCTTCCAGAGGGGACAAGGGACCTCCTCAGCTGCCCCTCTCTGGTCAGCAACACCTCCTGCTCCCTTCTACCTGATGCCCTGTTAAAAAGCTCATGTGGCATTTGAAATCTGTTCCTCATAGGAGCACTACCAGATCTATGTGCTTTTTCCTATTTCATTGGTCAAGAAGCAGGCCCCAAAGTGGGCATGGTAGTGCATACCTCTAATCCCAGCTCTTGAGAGGCAGACACAGGAAGATAGTGAGTTTGAGGTCAGCCTGGGCTATATAGTGAGGTCTAGGCTACATAGGAAGGCCCTATTTCAAACACACACACATACACACACACACACACACACACACACACACACACGCACGCACGCACGCACGCGCACACACACATGCACATACACACACGCATACACACACACGCACGCACGGGCACACACACGCACGCACACACACGCACACACACACACCTGAAGGGCCTAGAGCACTCATGACCTACTCAAGGACATGTTGCTGGGTTCCAGGTTCAATGTGTACCATCACAATTTTCATCTAAGTTTTAATCACTGTCATACTTGACTCTATTATGGAACATGGTCCACAACAGACCTTATAAACGTGCTTCTAAAAATCAGGAAGGGATGGCTAGGTGTGCTGGTGCACACCTATAATCCCAGCACTGAGAGAAACGGAACTCTGTAAGTTCAAGTCCACCCCGGTCTACGATAGTGTGACTCTGTCTCAAAAATCAAACAACAACAAATTAAAGTAAAATAAACAAACTTGCATGTGTGCTCTACCAGGAACAGGGGTCACTTTCTGCTGCTGCCTGAGCTGATGCATTTGCATCTGTGACAGGTGACCCTCCTCCCTTCTGCACTTTATGACCTTCAGAGGTCAGAGTCCTTGTTACTGAGCATGATTTGCTCTTCTTGAATTCCTGATCCTCTTCTGACCCAAGAAATTTCGTGGCTAAGGAGCAGTCACGTTACCCACAAAGAAACAAAGCCATTCACACAGTCTGGCCTTAAGTACAGCACAAACAAGAGCTCTGCTGTCCCCAGCTACCACCCCATCCTGCCCAGAGCCCAATACCTCCTCCTCCCAAGGGGATTCAGGTCTGTCCTCACCCCACAGGAGACTCAGAAAGCTACTTACAAAGTTTAATAACGTGTCAAGAACACTGAAGTCACCGGTCAGACCCAAAGTGCTTCGGACTTGCAGCATGACCTTGGCCGAGCTGACGGCTTGGTGCAGGCTGTGGTATTCTTTAATCTGTACCACGCGCTGTGGAATCCAACTCTTTTGGGGATGTGGGTCCACAGTGCACATGGCCTGAAGGTCAGCAGTCAGGTCACCATACTTATCTACGAAGTCTCTGAAGAAGTTATCGACCTCGGCAAAGGTGATCTCTCCTGACTTCAGATCCTCATAGAGATTAAGGAACTTCGCATAGCAAGGACAGTACAGGCATTCATAGGCCTCTGGAAGGTCAAGTTCCAACACTTTGGAATCCTCGTCTGAATCTCTCAGCTCCCCTGCAGCCTCTTGCCAGAGGATCTGGAAGACGTGGCTGTCTTTCAGGGCATCTATCTTGCTAGCCATTTCGTGGGTCTCAGGACTCAGGCAGTAATGTGTCATCCGCTCGGTGGCTGAGGAGTCAGGCAGTGCCACTATCACAGCTTCATTTAGCTTCTTACGGCTGAGGTCTTCAGAGTGTATCGCCTCAATCTCTCCAAAGTCCACTGTGGGAACCAGAAGTAAAGGCTGGAGAACACCTGTCACAGCAGCATTCCACTGACCTTCCTAGTGTCCGGTCACTTCTCTCTCTTGGCAAGGAGGAGGATTGCAACAGGGTCTCAATTTGAGGCCCAAGCTGGCCTTCAACTGATTATCCTCCTGCCACAGCCTCCTAAGTACTGGGATTACAGGTATGTACCAGGGCTAGAACTCCCTCCCTCCCTCCTCCCTTCTCCCTCCTTCTTTTTTGGTACTGGGGATGAAACCCAGTGTTGGAGACCAAGATGGCCAGACTCAGGACAAGTTGGGCCTGAACCTTCTTTTTTTTTGGTCTTTTTGAGACAGGGTCTCCCTGTTGCCACAGCTGTCCTGGAACTCACTATGTAGACCAGGCTGGCCTTGAACTCACAGAGATCCGCCTGCTGCTGCCTCCCCAGTGCTGGGATTACAGGTGTGTGCCACCATACCCAGTGGGCCTGAACCTTTAAGCAGAATACAGCCTCTGCTAAAAAGGGCAAAACACTGAAAACAGTCTCATAGCCCTGTCCTGAGCAACACTGCAATGACTAGCAGAAGGCAGCTGGCCGGGTTAAAAGTTTACAGTCCCTTGTTCTGAGAAAAACATCTTGACTTCCTTGATCTAGAGGTGAAAAATAGCCTAATCAATAACACCAAGTATGTATGTGATTAAAATTAAGACATCTTAGCTAATAAGCACTGACACAGTCCCTAGTCTTAACCCACTGCCCATGCTAAGGATTGATCAACCTATGTGACATGTACTATGAACTTTGCATGCACCCTGGACCCTGGACCCTGGACCCTGAAGGTATTCACGAGCCCCTCTTTGGTATATAAGCTTGCTGTTAAAGAATAAAGTTGTCTAGCCAAGAAGGAAATTGCATGTCCCAGAATCCTTACTCTGTCGCCCATCTGGCCTCTCTGCCCCCGAAGCTAGTAGGTTCCCTGCTGAGCAAAGCAAACCGAGTCCTGATAACCCAGGGCCTCGGATGTGCTGGTCAGGTCTCTGCGGCGGGAACACAGCCCCAGTCCTCGCTACTTCTCTAAGAACTCAAGCAAACACAGCTGCCAGCACGCTTTCTCAGGGAGAATGCGCGGTGTTCCCTCCTCCTGCCCTGGCTTTGGTCATCAATTTTCATAAGACGGAAAAGCTCCACAAGCTCTGGGTAAAGAGGCAGTTGGAACACAGGCGTCTACTTTCACTGTATTCTACAGTTCCCATGATGACACAATAGAAATTATCTTCTAAAACTCAGAAACCAGGTGAGATAGCTCAGTGGGTAAAGGCACTCGCAGTGCAAGTCGGACGACCTGAGTTTGACCCCTGGAACCCACAGCAGAAGGAGAGAAGTGGGTTGGAAAGTTGTCCTCTGAACTCCACACGTGTGCGGTGGTACAGGCACTGACTGCACTCACACACATCATACATACACACTCACCCATTAAAAATTTTGAGGTCAAGCACAGGAAGAGCAGAAAAGAAGCTGGGGGAATTGAAAACCCATGGAACCAGGAGTAGGTGGACACATGGCCAGGGGACACAGCGCCTCGAGGGAAGCAGGGGCCAGCCAGGTGTCCGTCAGTTTCCTTCAGGACAGACTCGGGGTGCTGGAAGTAACTAAGGAGAAGGGGTTCAAAGTCTTTTTTTAAATTTTTATTATTTTTATTTGTATGTATGTATGTATGTATTGCCTGCATGTAGGTTAAATGCACCCGTGTCATGCAATGCCCTCAGAGGACAGAAGAGGCTGTCGGATCCCCTGAAACTGGAGTTACGGACAGTTGTCAGCTGCCGTGTGGGTGCTGGGATTCGAACCCTGGTCTTCTGCAAGAACAGTCAGTGTTCTTAACTGCTGAGCCAACTCTCCAGCCCCTGGGTTTGAAGTCTTTGTAAGAAGCAGTGCATTCTGGGTGTGGTGGCTGTAACGCCAGCATTTAGAAGGCGGAGGCAGGAGAATTGCTGCAAGTTTGAGGCCAGCTTTGATTATATAGCAAGTTTCAGGGTAGCCTAGACTGCAGATGATGACTCCCGAGGAAAAACAGCCAAAGTTGATATCTGACCTCATACATGCACCCCACTTACACCTGCACATGTGTACTCATATACAAATGAACACGAGAGAGAGAGAGAGAGAGAGAGAGAGAGAGAGAGAGAGAGAGAGAGGAAAAAAGCAGCAGTAGCCTGGCGCCTGGATAAACAGGTGGACCATCCCTGCACCTCAGCCAGCGACAGAGGTTCATGCTCTAGAAAGGACAGCATGGAGGATTCTCAGGACTACAGATCACATCCAAGTGTTGTGGTGGGGACAGGAGTAGAGACAGGGTGGGATGGATGCAGCATGCTGGATGCTGGGACCCACCACTCTCTTCTCCCTCTTGACTCCCAGGCAAGACGCTGGATGTATGACTAGCCACAGGTGAAGATTTGAAAAGCCAGAACACCTCAAAGGCAGCCTCGGCCCCCCACAGGCCATCAGCCTCCAACCCACTTAGAGCCTCTCTCTTCCTAGAGACAGGCACAACAGGAAACTCTTTAACACAGAAGCTGCTGTCAAAACCAACCAGCAGGTCTGGGTACAGTGCAGGTGTCAGGTGCTGTCTTAGCCTGTAGGAGGTCCTGGCTTCCGACCCCAGCACCAAAAAATAAAGTAATTAATTAAAAAGAAAAGAAAAGAAAACCCATCAGATAAAAAGCAAACAAGAAACTATACAGGGAAAAGAAACTTCTAAAAATATCAGTAATCTCAGAAAATAGATGCTGTGGCCACAAAGAGAACAGGAGGGTGTAGAAAGGAAAACCGCTTCAAATCAAACACTGAGAGCCGAGAGGAGCTCGGCACCCAGGGCAGAAGACGAAGGTCAGAGGAGATCTCTCAGGAAGCAGAGCAGAAAAAAAAAAAGGAAAAGGAATTACAAGAGGCGACTGTTCCAGGAGGTCCGATGGCCAACCCACAGGAACTGCAGCCTGAAGGGGAAACCAACCAAGCAACCAGAGTGTTTCCCAGAGCTCAAGGCCTTGGACTTCTGGTTAGGCAGCTTCCCGCCAACCGCGGGGAGAAAAGAAACCCACAAGACTCATCACTATGAAATCTCAAGATACAGATGTCAAGTGCATCCAGAGCGGAGACACACACACACACACAGATCAGTAACCGGGACCACCTCCAGCTTCCCAGCACTAGAGAGACAGCCATGAACGACACAGCCATCATTCCCCAGGGAAACTTCCAAGAAGAGGGCAGGGAGAAAGAAACACCCGGAACCCCTCAGGGTAAAAGGAGAGGGCGGGGCTACACCAGTTCCATCCAGGGACTACCAGGTGCCCCATCTTGGGAGACTCCTGAGAGCTCCAGTTGTCATGAGAGTTTGCGATTGAGCTAGAAACCAAGACAATGGAAAAAACAAAAAAAATTCAAATTTCATGGGAAACTGCCAAGAGATAGATCAAGGGTGATTCCCAAGCATCTACCCCAGGCCTCCATATGCACCCACACATGTGCTCTCCCCTCATAAAAAGGAAAAAAAAAATTCTTTTAAAAATTGTTCCCTAAGGTGCTAGGGCAAGGGCTCAGCAGTTAAGAGCAGTGGCTGCTCTTGCAGAAGACCTGGGTTCCATTCCCAGCACCCGCTCTAGTTCTGGGGTCTGATACCTTCTTCTGACCTCTGTGGGCACTGCACAGCACCAGTGCACTTACACACACACACAGGCAATACACTCACACACATAAAATAAAAATAATAAATAAAATATTAAAAAAAAAAAAAGCACTGGATGCTCTAGCAGAGGATCCTAGTTTGGTTCCCAGCACCCACATGGTGGCTAATAACTGTAACTCCAGTTCCAGCGGGATCCAGCACCCTCTTCTGGCCTCTGTGAGTACTGCACACACGTCATGGGCTTACATACATGCAGGCAAAACACTCAGACACATAAAATATAAATAAAATATTTAAAAATGTTCCCTCTACAATTCAGCCCTAGCCTCACTGTGCCCCGTCTGCCCTTGGCCCTGAGGCCTCTCCATTTTCAGTGTGGCTCCTGGGGTCCCACCTTGCACATGGTGTTTCACCATCCCGCACTGCCTCAGGAAGCTCTCCACGTATCTCCTCTCTCTCTTGAGGAACTGCAGATCATCGTTCCTCCTGGTCAGCAGGTTTTTCACATCACAGACAATATCTTGGAATGACAGACTTTTTCTATCTGGAAAACACCAACAAGATCACTGACAGCTCACACAGCCCTGCTTTCCAGGTAACTGCCTTCTGATGCCGCCCTCTGAACGTGCTTCAAGGTCATAGTCATGCTCAGAGGGACCAGGAAGACTTTGGCTCAGCCTATGAGGATGGCGGAGCCATGTGCGTGGCAGACGGAAGAGCGGAGCCCTCCTGCTGCTGGCACTTCACTGTTTTCCCTGAGAAAAACAAACCAAGTTCAATGGCTTAAACATCTAGCAAGAATGGCTGGTGGTTATAAAGCCCAGGAGATGACCTCGCCACAAAATGGCAGACCCGAACAAACACCAGCTTTTTCCCTCTGGCTATTGCTCAGCAGTCTGAGGCAGTATCTCAACTTGACACTTACTTAAGTGCCAGATGTCAGTAAACTGACTGCTGTGCTCAAGGATCAGCTCCAGCTGTCCAACCGCAATGGTGCCGTTCACAAGGTCACCTGCCACCTTTCTGAACACAGACTCAGCAACGGCCATCAGATTCCTGCCTTCCTCGGTCATGTTGGCTAAGAGTTTCTCATCGGTTCCTGCACAGAGGGAGAGCACAGTTCAGATCAGGTCCCCGCCCTGGTCAGTTCCAGCAGGCATTGTGTTCCAACCCTTGTGTGACACGGGCAGCGTTACCGGCAGCCAACACTTCATCGGTGCATGGTGTCACCGCCTGCATATCCCGCCTGCCTCGCACAACTGGGAGCGTGAACTTGACGGTCCATTTAGAGAGCAAGATTTTAAGGCTCACTTAGCTTTAGTTACCATAAAACGTCTTTCTAGTATTATTAGATTCATATGATTAATTAAAGAGTAAGAGCAAGTGGACCTGTGCTGTGGTGGTTCCATACAGTGGACAGTCCTCAGTGGTTCAAACAGGCAACCGAACGACCAAGTGACAAAGACATGGAAGAGCTTTCAGTGCAAATAGCTAAGGAGAAACTACAGGACAGTCTCAAAGACCGCGTATGTGTTATATGATTCCAATTACAGGACAGTCTCAAAGACCGCATATGTGTTATATATAAGATTCCAATTACAGGACAGTCTCAAAGACCGCGTATGTGTTATATGATTCCAATTACAGGACAGTCTCAAAGACCGCGTATGTGTTATGTGATTCCAATTACAGGACAGTCTCAAAGACCGCGTATGTGTTATATGATTCCAATTACAGGTCAGTCTCAAAGAATGTGATTCCAATTACAGGACAGTCTCAAAGACCGCGTATGTGTTATGTGATTCCAATTACAGGACAGTCTCAAAGACCGCGTATGTGTTATGTGATTCCAATTACAGGACAGTCTCAAAGACCGCGTATGTGTTATGTGATTCCAATTACAGGACAGTCTCAAAGACCGCGTATGTGTTATGTGATTCCAATTACAGGACAGTCTCAAAGACCGCGTATGTGTTATGTGATTCCAATTACAGGACAGTCTCAAAGACCGCGTATGTGTTATGTGATTCCAATTACAGGACAGTCTCAAAGACCGCGTATGTGTTATGTGATTCCAATTACAGGACAGTCTAGAAAACAAAACTAAAGGAAAGGAGGAAGGACAGAGTCTCAGGACGATGAGATCATTGTGTATAAAATAACACCCAATATACTCAATTATACATCTATCTAAACCCAGAGAACATCTTCTAGGACTTAACAATGTACCACCTGGCTCATCCATTATAAGAAATACACACATTTGGGGCTGGAGAAATGGCTCAGCAGTTAAGAGCACCGGCTGTTCTTGCAAAGGACCCGGGTTCAGTTCCCAGCACCCATATGGTGACTAATAACCATCTGTAACTCCAGTTCCAGGGGATCCAACATCCTCTTCTAGCCTCTGTGGGTACTGTACACACATGGCGCACTTATATACATGCAGGCAAAACACTCATACACATAAAAAATATAAATAATTCTTTTAAAAAAGAAATGGACACACTCAAGCCAGATGTGACTATCAGGAAAAGTGGATGGGTGCTGGGGAGCTGTGTGGGAAAACTGTTTTCTGATGGATTTTTCTACAAAGCTGAAATGACTCTTAAAAGCGCATCAATTGAAACCACACAGATATAATAACACTCTCACATCAGCAGTCGATACCCACAACACCCCAGCCTCTCACACTTCCTGCCTCACCTCTCATGACCTGTGAGGAGCTCACTATTTACTGTCCAATGATCTGGTGAAGTAGAGGCTTATAACCACCTGACCTGGGCACTTAGTGCCAAACAACACTTTCCCATTATGAGATCTGAGCATGGCAGCTCACACATGTACATGAGTGTTTTCTGAACAAGGCATAGCACCAGAGGTGGGGGCAGGCTGGGAGGATCAGGTGGGACTTTGTGCTCCATTACAGCCATCAACACTGCTCTCAGGATGACAGAGGCTGGCCTTCAGAGCAAGGCCACCTGGGTTTGGACTTTATTTTCTGTGCATGTGGGAAAAGTGTGTGTGTGTGTGTGTGTGTGTGTGTGTGTGTGTGTGTGTGCCTTCAGAGCAAGACCACCTGGGTGTGTGCTTTATTTTCTGTGCATGTGGGAAAAGTGTGTGTGTGTGTGTGTGTGTGTGTGTGTGTGTGTGTGTGTATGTGCGCGCGCGCACCTGCATGGAGGCCGGAGGAGGATGTCAGGTGTCCTGCTCTATCACTCACCACCTTATTCCCTTGAGACAGGGTCTCTCACTGAACCCAGAGCTGGGCTGGCACCTGGCCAGCCCCAAAGTTCCTCCTGTCTCTGTCCCCCATGGTACTGGAGTCACAGGTGTGCGAGCAGCCACACCCAGCCTTTTAAATGGGTGCTGAGGACCTGATTCAGTCTTCACTTGCAGAGCCTGCCCCTTTACTGGCTGGGAAGTATCCCAGCCCAACTTCAGTCCTTGATACTATCTTTAGACCAAGAGTAAGTCATCAGCACCCTAACTTCCAACCCTTCATCTGGAAACCGAGGCCTTAAAGAGGACAATTGAGGAGCGGCTTCAAGGACAGCGTTCCAGCACAGGAGCTGTACACAGCAGGCACTCAGTGGATGTGGCTTTGGTCATGGCTGTTCTTCACTCTGCAAGATGCCCTGTGCCTTCCTGGGCCTCCTTCCCAGCTGCTCCTTTTACCAAACACCAGAACATGCCAGTTGAGTGTCAGATCAAGTGTTTAGTCCTATTCTGCTCCCAGACACCAGGAAGATGCTACCTCACTGAGCTCCCTGCAGCCCTCACACGTACCGCACAGTTTGAAGAGCTGTTTCACATCTGGCCACACGAGCAGGTATTTGAAAATTTCGTCCAGGTCAACCACAGCCTCCCCGTTGTTCCTAGGCCAGGACTTGGTGATCACAGCAGATAAGAGGGTGCCAAATTTCCGCAAATCCTGGTAATAGAGTCCCTCAAGGATACTGGTCTGAGACTATAAAGAAAATCGGGTAAAAAGGGAAATTTAGGAATGTTTTATTAGCTGGTTTTAAAAATAAAAAATAAGAAAAGTGGGTATGATAGCACATAATAGTAATCTAAGCATTTGGAAGGCAGGAGTTTGGGCTACATGAGGCCTTATCTTTTTTCCATTTTTTTTTTTTTTTTTTTTGGTCTTTATGAGACAGGGTCTTCCTGTAGCCCCAGCTGGAACTCGCTATGTAGACAAGGCTGGCCTCAAACTCACAGAGATCCACCTGCCTCTGCCTCCCAAGTGCTGGTATTAAAGGCGTGCGCCACCATACCCAGAATGAGGCCTTATCTTAAAAATATTACTTTTGGGGGCTGGAGAGATGGCTCAGCAGTTAAGAACACTGGTTGTTCTTGCAGAAGACCTGGGTTCGAATCCCAGCACCCACATGACAGCCTCTTCTGACCTCTGTGGGCATTGTACAACATGGGTGCATTTACCTACATGCAGACAATATACACATACACATAAAATTTTAAAAATAATAAATAAAATTTTTTAAAAAAATATTAATTTTATCTGGGTGTGGTGGTGTACGCCTTTAATCCCAGCACTTGGGAAGCAGAGGCAGGGGGATCTCTGTGAGACAAGCCTGGTTTACATAGCGAGTTACAGGTCAGTCAGGGTTACACAGTGAGACCCTATCTCAAAATAATAATTTTTAAAAGTTATCCTTTTATAATAGGATTCCAGAAATCGACCCATAGTTGACAACCTGAGCTCCATCCTGGGACCACATGGTGGAGCTAGGAAACGAGCCCTGAACGTTGTCCTCTAACCTCTGTCACGTGTCCTGAAATGCACAAGCACTTGTACATACACAAATACAAACACAAATGAATAAAAATCAAAAAGTGGGGCCGGGAGTGGTGGCACATGCCTGTAGCACTTGGGAGGCAGAGGCAGGCGGATCTCTGTGAGTTCAAGGCCAGCCTAGTCTACATAGTGAGTTCCAGGCCAGCTGGGGCTACAGGGAGACCCAGTCTCAAAAAGACAAAAAAAAAAAAAGGAAAAGCAAATGCTTCACATTTCTTAGAGCACTCTCAGCACACGGATGGCCAACACGTGGCTAGCAGCATGTGGATAACCTGCAGAGCTCTGACAAGGTGCTAAAGTCATGAAATGGGGACAGCATGATCTTGTCAATAAACAGTGCTGGGAAGCTGGAGCTCCACGTGCCAAAGTGTAAAACTGGACCCTTGTTTCATAACACCTTGAGAAAGGAACTCAAGTGGACAAAAGGCCTCAGTGTAAGAGCTGAAGCCACAAAACTTAGAGGAAGCAAAACTTAGAGTATGCCTGGCATAAATGTGGCCCCAGGTTCAATCCCCATCACTGCGTGGGCAAGCGCTAACAGAAAATCATACACCAGCAGCCATGATCAGGGGCACATCTGCAGAGCAGCAGCAAGTGGGGCTGGACAGGGCCTCTGTGTGGCTGTGGTTTTGCATGGCACCTAACAGTCCTGGGAACAGGAAACCTAGCTGCTTCTCAAGGAGTTAGTAGAGAGTACTGGATCTCAGTACATGGCTCCAAACCATTAAGGGGGTCAATCTAGCCCTGTGGGGGTCTCGGAATCAGCACAACTTCAGCAGGCTTTGGGGGTGGGGGGCACATCAGAAGCAGTTGTGACCCCAAGCTGGAAAGGCTAGTCACCTGGCAGGCAGAGCTCACAGCTTCAATGACAGACTTCTCAAAGATCCTGGCCACACTGTCATGCAGGCCAGCATGATCCCATTGATTGCTGCAGAAGACAGAGATCCGCAAGCGGGGGTACTCCTGCAGACAAGGAGGGAGGTGTGAGGGTTGTGGATGCCACGCTAAATGTGGTGAGACATCTGAGTCTTTGCTGACTTCCCCGTGATTTCGGCCTCTCCCCACCTCACACCAAGCATTCCACCCTAACTCCACCATCTGAGGAGCAAAGACAAAATCCTTTCTCTTTACTTAGGCATGGTGGCTTGATCCTGTGATCCCAGCACTTGGGAGGCCAGGGAAGGAGGATTGCAGCAAGTTTCAAGTCAGCCTGAGATACACAGTGAGGTCCTGTCTGGTCTTTTCTCCCAGGCTGAGGGGGAAAAAAACAAAACAAAAAACAAAACCCCAGCCACACTGGCGCTTCTAGAAACAGGTCAATTCTGAGAAATAAGCCATTTTCCTTGGCTTGTTTTCCTGAAAATATCTACTTGACAGGTTCAGATAAAATCTTTTTTTTTGAGACAAGGTCTCCCTGTAGCCCCAGCTGTCCTGGAAGTCACTATGTAGACCAGGCTGGCCTTGAACTCACAGAGATCCGCCTGCCTCTTCTGTGTTCTCTCCATTGTCACTGCGTTTATTAAGGCCGCCACCAGCCAGCCAGGGGAGTGTCTGCATGTGCTTCCACTGTGTAAGTCTAGGTCTGCCATCATGACAAGACCCTGTACCCTGTTCTTCTCAGGGTATCACACAAGAAGGTTGAACATTTCTTCGGGGTCAGAAGACAGTGGCCAGATCAGAAACAGAAACCAGTCATGGCTGACTCCTGCCGTACTACAGTGACCAAATGCACTGTCCATTGCTACTGGGGCGGCAAAGGGTCTGGTCTACTCGACATTTCTTCACCCCAGAAAGAGCTGCCCCAGCCTCAAGTACCTGCTTGAACCTCCTTTCCAAGTCTCCCAGCAATGACTCCTTCCAGCCATGTGTCCCTGGGAAGTTGATTTCTACCAGCCGCCGCCACACCTGCAAAACCCAGATGTGAGTGATGGCCACAGTGTGGAAAAGACAGACTGACAGCCAGGTGGTGTTACTGTCTGTGGTCCTAGGTACTTAGGAGACAGGAGGATGCTTTAAGCCCAGGGGTTCAAAGCCAACCTGGACATCACAGGAAGACCAACATCTTCCCCTACATGCCTGGACAGGTGTTTCCTTCCCCCGGCCACCTGGAGTGTCTTACTGGAGACAGTGAGAGGAGTGGAGAGGACAGGGTGTTGTGTGAGCTGCCGCATCCTGTGCCCTTGTTGGTCCACCTAATGTGCTGACTGACTGTCTCCGCAGTCCAGTTAACGTGTGCACACTGCATTTCATGATCACATCTTTTCTAGGAAAGGTCCAAGGCCTTTCCTTTTCGCTTATGATGATAGTTTGGAAAGTTTGTGCTGACTACTTTGGAGGCTGTCTGTTGATATGACTTCTCATTACCCCATGATTAAAATATCCTTGGCAGAGACACTATCACATTGAGCCACATGAAAAGTGTACTTTGTCCAGGTCCACAGCTTCCCATGGCTGCCTGATCACACACCTGAGGGTGCTGCTGCTCCTGGGAGCCGTTTTGCTATCGAGACTGATGGTCAGGTCAACTCATGGTGAAGACCTGTGTGCTCTTTCCTCCTAGGACTACATACCATCGCAGCGGGCTGGGTGAGGCCACCCTGTCCTGCCCCCACTCTGAAAGCCTGCCTTCAGCTTTCCTGGTGAGTCCCGCCTGAGCGGCTTTGTTGGGTTGCAGAGCGGGCTTTTCTGCCGCAAGTGCTTCTCTGTGTCCTGGCTGCCGTTCTTCCGTAAAAGAAGACAGATCCCCTCTTACTTTGTCTTCCGTAAAAATCCATTCCAAGTACAAATGCATGTTAACCCACACCTCTTCCACACTGACCTGACCACCTGGAAAATGAGGGCTCCTTCGATGTGATCTTTTGAAAATACGGAATAACTTTAGACATTCAGAAAGGCCTGGAGAAGTCCTCCGGGCTCCACCCAATTTCTCCCCTCATTTGTATCATGACGGATCACCGCTGACTAAACCACAGACTTTATCCGGGTCACGTGTTCTTCCTGTCCTCTCAGAACCAGCCTCTCATCCTTATGACCATCATGGTAGAGATGCTATGGGACTCTGGAACGCCCCCAAGGATGAGCCCAGGAAGTGCCAACCACACCAGACAAACCAAACCGCCTGCTGCCAGACTTCGCGGAGCTCCTCAGCTGTAGACACACTGGCTGTCTGCCCACAAAGCAGCTCCCTCTCTGTCTTCCATTTCCAATGCCACACACCTCCCACCTGGCTCTGACCGTCCCTGCTCACAGGCTCCACCCCCCAGTGGCACTCCAGGCACCGCACTGCAAAAGGAAAGGTCCAGCTGGGTCCAGCAGTACTCTTCAGCTGACGCTGGGTTAGCAAATCCCTTGCACAAGGAACACAGTGGCTAGCCTTCAGACCATGGCCACAGCTCTTCGACAGCTGACAGTCCCTCATGTCCACACCTCTGTGCCTTGAGCATCTTCCCAGCTCCCCGGAAGGCTTACCGCCATCTCCTCAGAGTAGGTGAACTGGCCAGTGGCTAAGGAGAACATTCTGCTTTTAAACACGCTGCGGAGCCACTTTCTTGTGATGGCCAGGGTCTCCTGGAGGACACTGGTTGGGACTTCGCTAACTTCAGCACCTGGCCCCTCTGCAGCATCCTGCAGACACATGAGGGAGTTTATGGGATCGGCTCTGCTGTTCTCTGCATCCAAAGCGCCTGTGACAGGCACTCTGACGTCCCTGGATGCCTAGGCTACACTTAAAGGGAACAAGGCAGGAAGTGGGAGAAAACATGGTACTTCTGTAGTATGAAGGTTTTGGGCTGAGTTGGTCTTACCAAGAGTTCCTGTAGGCTGGGCCCAGAGGAGAGGCCAGTGGCTTAAAAAAGTTTGCTGGCCCCCACTCTCCACTGACACACTGGTGAGGCAAGCCTCATCTGCATCCTCCTAGCTCCCCTTGCAGAGCCTCCTTCTCTTTCCTCAAGGCCTCCAGCAAGTAATTCCTCTGAGTCCCTCTCATTCATCTCCAGAAGCCCCTTATCAGGCAGCAAGTGTGGGTCTGTCCCCACCCAAGGCCTCGCAGGGCAACAGCAACCCCTCACCCACAGCTTCATGAAACCTGCGCCCTCTCGCCTCCCCACCTCCCAGAGAAGCACCTATGGCCCCATGCCAAGCAGACACGGTTCCTGCCCCGGGAGCTGACCCAAGGGGAGATGAATAGTTCACAGACAGATGGGCAGGCAAGCACGTGGTCATCAGCCTAGTAAGAGCCAAGATGGAGAAACACAAGATGGCCTGTGGCACATAAATGGGGGGGGGGGCACAGAGGAAGAGGAGCCCCACCCCAGGCAGGAGGAGGAATGGCTCCTAGAATGGAGCACCAGGACCAGAGCCAGGCAGGATGACGCCAACACCACCCAAGTGAAAGAAAGATGAGTTAGCCCTTGATTAAGATTTCCAAATGGCACAGCAATTTCCAGAACAATCGAGAAGCCTCAGTGTAGTGTGCATGTCTTGTGATCACACGCAGGCATTCCATTAACTGACAGGATACCTCAGCCACAGCACCCATCTTAGTGTCCTGGGCACCCCACAGAGGGAGGGCCATCAACACACTGCGGAGTCCTGTATACAGCTGGACTGCGACTATAGAGCCCCAATCCAGCTCTCTCCTCTCAAGCAGCATCCATTAAGCCTAGGACACGACTAAAGACTTCGCAGCTTGGCACACCAGGTTTTTGTTTGCCAATTTTAGGATTGCAAAGTTTATCTTTATGACACAGAATATTTGCAACCAGACGTGGTTAGACTAATCTGAGATTCCAGTCTATGTTGAAGACACTTATTTCTGCAGAAGAACATACCTGAAAAACTGACAAATCTATTTATTTTCATCATTATTAGTATGTGTGTGATATGTGTGTGGTGTATATGTACATGTATGTACAACTGTGTAAATGCACAAAGGCCAAGGGAGGACACTGACTACCTTCCTCTATCCTTCCCACCTTTTTCCTTCAGACTTGAATAGAGTAGCAGAGTCCATGTCCTCTGTGCAGGCTCAGGCACACACTCCCGGAACCTGGAGCTAGGTGGCAGCTACAAGTCCCAGTGATCCTCCTGTCTCTATCCCCTACAGAGGGGTTATGGGTGTGTGTGTGTGTGTGGTCTAGCTTTTTACTCAGGTTCTAGGGATTTGAGCGTCACCCTTGTACAGCAAGCATCCTTACCCACTGAGCCATCTCCTCAGCTCCTGGAAAAATTCTTAAACATAATTTGGAAACTACACCTGCCTGGCTTCAGTGGCATCTCCCCAGTAGGAAGTGGTCACCTTGCTGCCAATAAATAAATTTCATTCTTAGTGCACGCGGGTGTGTGTGGTGTGTTATTTTAAAGAAGAGCTCAGGATGGCTCAGTGGGTTAAGGCACTTGCCACCAAACCTGATGAAATATCTCTAGGACCCACATGGTAGAAAGAGAGAATGGATCCTTGAAAGTGGTTCTCTGACCTCCACACGCATGCTGTGGTGCATGCACACATGTGTGCACACATGCACATGTGCACACACAATAGATAAATGTAATTTTGAAAGAAAAAGAAAAGCTAAAAGAAAAAGCATTAAAACATATACTGGGGAATCCGACGCCCTCTTCTGACCTCTGTGGCACTGCATCACACAAGTGCACTCACATACATACAGGCAAAACACTCATGAACACATAAAATAAAAAGTAAATCCAAAAAAATTTAAAATAAAAGTCACAGTTCTGACTTGTGAAGAAACAGTCCAAATGCAAAAACTGTTTTTTCTATGAATCAAGGAAAGAAAAAGAACGAAGACCTTATCAGTGAGGTCCGGTAACTGCTCTTAAGTTTGCTGTGGTCATCAAGGCACAGGTACTGCCCACCCATGGCCTCCCTGCCTCCCTCCAACAAAGCCTTACTGGCGGGTTGGTAGAGTCCCATTGGTGCCCAGAACAGAGCCCTGCTCAGAGAGAAACCCAAGAAACTCCCTGAGAGCTGAGTCAAGTCAGCCACCCCAGCCTGCCCAGTCAGCCAGAGTCAGTCCCTTTCCCTTCTAAACTGAGGCTGAATCCCATCCCTCTACAGGGCACAATATTAGACTCACAGATTCTACTTACCTCTGAAGGTTTGAGCCTAAGCATTTGACAGATAATCTCAGCAGACAAGGCTGGCATCTGGTAGAAGCGTTCGTTAGTTGTGATCTTGCAAACGGTTTCATGGAGGTTCAGACACTCAGCCAAGTAGGTCTGTAATGGGGTGCCCCCGAGAATCCTACTCACAAAGAGCAGAGAGAAACCACTGATGTATTTGAGAAAACAAAAAGCTGACCAGGGTTTTTCTGAGCAAGCCTCTAAGTCCATCGAGCGTGACCCGTTCCCTGCCTGGGAAGTCTCAGCAGGTCTTAAAATTGTGACTAAGGTGAAATATAGTTCTTTCTGCTTTACCTCCATAGTCATAAGTGTTCTCACAAAAGTCAAGTTAAAATATCTACAATCAGGCTGGGCGTGGTGGCGCAAACCTTTAATTCTAACACTTGGGAGTCAGGAGCAGGCGGGTCTCTGTAAGTTCAAGGCCAGCCTGGTCTACATAGTGAGTTCCAGGACAGCTGGGGCTACAGGGAGACCCTGTCTCAAAAAGACGCCCCCCCCCCAAAAAATACGTCTACAATCGGCTGGGTGTGATGGCACATGCCTTTAATCCCAGCACTCAGGAGGCAGAAGCAGGCGGATCTCTGTGAGTTCATCATCCTGGTCTACCGGCCAGCTGGGGCTACAGGGAGATGCTGTCTCAAAAAGACCAAAAAACTACAATCACATTCCCTTACTGAAAAAAAAAAAAAGATTAAGATGTGTATTACCAATTAATAAAATACTACATGGATTTGAAAAAAAAAAAACAAACACTCAGAGCTAGAGAAAGGAGGAAGAGCAGAAAGTGTTAGAGAGGGAGGAGAGAGAGCAGGCACTGTGTGTGGCTTGAGCACAGGGTTTGTGTTTACTGAATGAGTTTGTAACCAAAAGAGTGGCAATGGGACTGCCCAGCCTGCCTGAGACCCTGGATCCTCAACACTGCAAAAGAAAGGGGGGAAAATGGGCTGGAGAGGTGGTGCAGCAGCTTAGAGCACTGCTGCTCTTGCAGAGGACGGGAGTTGGGTTTCCTTCACCCACATGGCTGCTCACAGATGCCTGTAAGTCCAGCTCCAGGGACGTGCCAGACAGAATAAACAGGAGAGAGTGACTGGGCACCAGTGTCACCTCTCTCTGCTTCCTGACCGTGGATGGGAAGCACTCAGTTGCCTCACAGTCCTGCCGCCATGACTCTCCTGTCATGACAGCAGTCCCCTCAAACTGCGGAGTCAGGACAAACCCTTCCTTAAGATGCTTTGGCCAAGTATTTTGTCACAGCAATGAGAAAAATATATAGTCAGTTTTAGTTTTTCTTCTGATCTGACTTGACTGACTAACAACTAAATGCTGAAGAGACGCAGGACACAAACGTAAACACGCACAGCAAGGGGAGGCCGGAGAGAAACAAAACCCAGCAGCCAGGGCTGAACTAGCGCAGATTGTGACAGCGTGTGTGGGAAGCCACGTCCGTGGGGACAGGACACACCTCCTGAGCCATGTGGAACAGGGCTACACTTTGACTTTCTACTTACGTGTCCTGATAGATGTCCACGAGGTGCAACAGCATTTTAAAGACTTTCTTGACATCCTAGGGCAGAGAAGGGAAGCTTTCGTCAGGGCACCCCGTGTTCACCGAGACTCGGCTGAGGAAAAGCCTGCGTGAGGGCTAGCTCGGCCTCCCTTCCTTCAGACAAGCCAGAGAGCCTGGACACTCACCTTCCGTCCTTTTTGTTTGGTCTTTTTGAGACAGGGTCTCCCTGTAGCCTCAGCTGACCTGAACTATGTAGACCAGGCTGGCCTTGAACTCACAAAGATTCCCCTGCCTCTGCCTCCCGAGTGCTGGGATTAAAGGCGTGTGCCACCACGCCTGGCTCACCTTCCATCTTTTATCAGTAAAACTCATGATATAAAATTATATAATTTTCTCTTTTTCAAAGCAATTTTTATTTATTCATTTTAATGTGTATGTTCCAGGGGATTTTACACCCTCTTTTGGCCTCTGTGAACATTTCATACATGTGGTATCCTTACATGCAGGCAAAACACTCATACACATAAAATAAAATGTTTTTTAAAAAGCTATTGATTTCTTGAGCTCTTAGGGGAATCAACCTTTGCCCCTGAGACATCACCAGATCTGGCTAAATAAACCTGTTGGTTTCTTGTGGTGCTAGGGATGTGACACAGGGCTCCATCCAACACTGAGCCACTTGGCCCAGCCCTCAGCCAGCAATTAACCCATGTGTGCTAAATCAGTACTTGCTGGACTGCTCCCCACAACATACCCCCAAGTTCAGGTATGAGATCTTCATCCCTTGCAGCCGGTATGAAATCCCCTGAAAACAGTCCAAGACACGAGCAGGCACATGACTCAAGTATTCCATGGAGTTTTCCAAGTAGGAAATCAGGCTTTCCAGAGGGACCAAGGTGAACCAGGATCGGAAGAGGTACTCGTCCACATGCAGCAGAGATTGTCTCTGCTCTATGAACTGGATTAACTGGCTCCTGAGGACAGACGGCACGAGATTCAGTGAGATGACGTGACAAAAGCAGGAGGCATCTCACATCCGGACTTTAAAAAGTTCAGGGCCTCATGGGAAACTGCGGTAGGCCATGAATGAAACAGAAGCGAGGGCACGTGAGGAATTCTGCAGGTGGGCTGACCGTGTCCTCATGGGGGGGGGGGGTCCCTTTCTCAGCCCACACTGGAGTCTGTGGCAGAACTGAGCTGAAACTGAGATCTGAGCGCCCAGCGTGACCGGCTTGTCCTTTCTGCTGTGGTCAATCTCCACGGCAGGCTCGGATCCAGCAGCCCTATCGCAGCACTGCTGGATGGCCAATGTCCCCCCACATGCTGTGGAGGATTCATGGTCCCCATCCACGTCCCTAGGTCCCTCCATGCCTGCCACTCCAGAAGCCAGGGCTCACCTACTGCAGCCTGCAGCACAATGCCCTGCTCTTATCCCTGGAGTCCCAGGAAGACAGTGGTCCGCTCTGGGCCTGCTTTGGCCACAGCATGCTGAGTCCTGGGTATCATGACCAGGGGACACAGGGCTCCCTCTGAACCTGACCACCTGCTCACTGGATGCCTCCCAGCCAGGGTACACGTTTGTCAGGGACAGGGTGCTGTTTGTCGTATTTGTGCTACCCCCAGACCCTGGCCACACGCAGTCTCCTTAACTATTTGCCAAACGGATGAGTGGACACATTCTAGTACAGTAGTAATGGAAAGATCACGGCAAGGCTAAAAGGGGTCAGTTCTGCTAGGTGGGTTAGCTGAAGTCTAACCTCTGCTCTATGCAGTGCCCAGTACTGTCATTTATGGAGGTGGGAATTGGAAACACAGATGCTTTCATTTCATCTGTGAGGCTTCTGCTCTTCCACAGGCTGGTGGAGATAAGGGTACTTTATAAAGGGGGGGGGTGACAATATTACATTTTCTTCTAAGTTCCTGTTCTAAGTTCTGTAGAAGTTTTCCAAAAACTTCAAACACACTGGCCTCACTGGCCACTTGCCCTGTACACACATATGAACACACACACACACACACACACACACACACATGAACACACACACAAACACACATACTCACACACACACTCACTCACTCACAACAGAACCTTTTTATGGGCTGCATGGTGTACAGCAAACTGATTTACAGTTGGCCTGAATAGCTGTTCCATTTCCCAGGCTCCAGCCTCTGAAGCACTTCCCGCCACAGTCAGCAGTGAGGACTAAACCACGACCGGCTGCGCTCCAGAGCCCTGTTCACCTGACCTGCCTCTGCTGGCCTCTGGAGCAGCTTGGTGAACAGCAGTGAGGAAAAGTGCACGAAATGACAAGAGAGCAGCAGGATGATGTGACGTCTTGGGCTGTGATGTGTGGTTGTGCACCTTAATACATCATGCAAGCCGCCAGGGTGTCCTTCAGTGGTAGAACACCTCCACACCATGCATGAGGCCCTGGGCTTCACAGCATCACAAAAGGAGGAAGGGAGGGAGGGGGG